GCACTCACCACACTGGGTATTGAGCCCGCAACCCACGCATGTGACCTTGATCGGAACTGAACCCGGAACCTTTCAATCTGCAGGCTGATGCTCTACTCATTGAGCCATTTTTCTTTATGGTCAGGTCTGTCTTTCCTTTCCTCTGCATCATTTCTAGATTCCTGTCTGTGATATCACTAATTCTTTCCTCCATCTGCTTGGCTCTGTTTTCTATGCTCAGTAGTTTACTTTTTTTTTTTTAAATATTTTTTTTATTGACTTCAGAGAGGAAGGGAGAGGGATAAAGAGCATGACTGATTGGCTGCCTCCTGCACGCCCCTCACTGGTGATCAAGCCTGTAACCCAGGCCTGTGCCCTTGGCTGGAATCAAATCCGGGACCTTCAGTCCGAAAGCTGATGCTCTATCCACCGAGCCAAACTGGCTGGGGCAAGTGGTTTACTCTTAATCTACTTAATCACATACTTCATTTCTTCATTTCTGATTATTTTTTTCTTAAATGTTTTTATTGATTTTAGAGAGAGAGAGAGAAACATCAATGCTAAGAGAGAATCATTGATTGACTGCCTATTGCACACCCCCTACTGGGGATGGAACCTGCAACCTGGCATGTATCCTGACCCAGCACAGAACCAGGGCCTCCTGATTCACGTTTTACTCTCAGCCACTGAGCCACATCGGCCAGGCTGGCTGACCCTTTTTAAAAGTTTCAGTCTCTTTGGTAAAGTACTCGTTTTGTCATTGATTTGTTTTCTGAGTGCATTGAATTGCATGTCTATATATTCTCGCATATGTTGAGTATTTTCAGAACTGCAATCTTGAAATCTCTGTCATTTATATCACATATTTCCATGTGTTCCTGCTTGCTTTCTGGGGATTTTTCATTTCTTTTCTGGCCATCCTTGTTACTGTGTTGATTCATGGTATCTGCTGTTCTCCTTTGCCACTACTGGTACATTTATATCTGTCTATATTAATACCCGATAGCAGCTTTCTCTGAAGAGATCTTTCTATTATTTTCCAGTAGATGGCGCTGGATCGCAATATTTTTACCTCTGATCTCTCAGTCTTTTTTTTTTAATATATATATATATATTATGCCGAGACCGGTTTGGCTCAATGGATAGAGCGTCGGCTTGGGGACTGAAGGGTCCCGGGTTCGATTCCGGTCAAGGGCATGTACTTTGGTTGCGGGCATATCCCCAGTAGGGGGTGTGCAAGAGGCGGCTGATCGATGACTCTCTCTCATCGATGTTTCTAGCTCTCTATCTCTCTCCCTTCCTCTCTGTACAAAATCAATAAAATATATTAAAAAAAAATATATATATATATATATTTTAAATATATTTTATTGATTTTTTACAGAGAGGAAGGGAGAGGGAGAGAGAGTTAGAAATGTCGTAGAGAGAAACATCAACCAGCTGCCTCTTGCACACCCCCTACTGGAGATGTACCTGCAACCAACGTACATGCCCTTTACCGGAATCGAACCTGGGTCCTTTCAGTCCGCAGACCGACGCTCTACCACTGAGCCAAACCGGTTTCAGCTAAATGTATATTTTAAATTAATTTCAGGGCTGACTGAGGAGTGATGTGACATCAGTCATGGCGGGAGGATGATGTGGAAGATGGGGTGTATTTATGAAACAGCCGGTTCCACACTGACTGCATGCTCTCTGAGCTTCCTTCCACCCCTCCTGGGCGGACGTGTTCGGGCCGTGAGGAAGGATGTGTGTGGAGGGCATGAGGCCGCGGGTGAGGGAGGACTGGGAAGATCACATGGGGCCCAGTTAGAAGAGTTTTCTATTCTGGGGGGGGGGAGGGGGCGTCGCAGCCAGGGAGTCATGTGACCGGACTGACACTGCTGCGTGTGCAGGAGGCTCGCCCGGCTGGGCCGAGGGGGACAGAGCCCACAGCACCTGCCTTCCTCTCCCAGGTGGTCCCACGCGTGTTTGGGCGAATGGTGGGGAAGAGCCGAGAGGCGGTGGCCCAGGCAATGGTGCTGGAGATGTTCCGAGAGGAGGATTACAACAACGATGACGTCCTGGACCAGATGGGTGCCAGCATCCTGGGCGTGGAGGGCCCCCGGCGCCACCCCGATGAGGCCCCCGAGGACGAGGTCTTCGAGCTCTTCCCCATGTTCATGGGGGGGCTTCTCTCTGCCCAGAACCGGGCCCTGCTGGCCCAGCTGGGCTGCCCCATCAAGAACCTGGATGCCCTGGAGAACGCCCAGGCCATCAAGAAGAAGCTGGGCAAGCTGGGCCGGCGGGCGCTGCCCCCCTCGGAGCTCCTGGACCACCTCTTCTTCCATTACGAGTTCCAGAACCAGCGCTTCTCCGCCGAGGTGCTCGGCTCCCTGCGCCGGCTCGACCTGGCAGGCGTGCGCATGACACCCCGCAAGTGCATGGTGGTGGCGGCTGTCCTGGGCAGCGGCAGGCATGCTCTGGACGAGGTGAACTTGGCCTCCTGCCAGCTGGACCCTGCGGGGCTGCGCACGCTCATGCCCGTCCTTCTGCGTGCCCGGAAGCTGGGGTGAGGACCTTGGGCTTGGGCACGGAGGGAGGAGGGGCTGGAGGGGAAGAGGGGGGAGGAGAGGGTGCCAGGGAAACCGGGGGCACTGAGGAAGGGCCAGGGCCCGGGGGGACGTGGGTGTGGGCGGAGGGAACAGGCAATAGGAGGGAGGACAGCGTGGAGAGACAGAGGCCAGTGGATGGCCGGCCTCGGCTGAACTCTGGTTTCTCCCTCCCCTCGGGCCACCCCTGCTCCAGCTTGCAGCTCAACAGCCTGGGCCCGGAGGCCTGCAGGGACCTCCGAGAGCTGCTGCTGCACGGCCAGTGCCAAGTCACCACCCTGCGGTGAGTGCGGGAGGGGGGGGGGGGGCGGCTGCGGGAGGACCAGACGCGCTGGCGGCCAGCTGAGGTCAGGGGTGTGCTCCTCACCTCAACGTGCCCCGGTCCAGGACAAGCAGGAGGGCGGTGGGTGAGATGCCACCAGCAGTAGGTGCTAAGAGAGCCTCTCATGGGACTAATGAGAGGGGAAGGGCTTGGACCAGAGCCCAGGCCAATGGATGTGTGTCGCCTCACAAGGATGACCTGCTGGGCACTCCGTCGATGCCCCCAGAGTTGACTGACTTACTAGGAACCCAGACTCCTGGTTGAAGTGAGGGGAGGCGAGTGAGGAAGGAGAAAGGAGGGAGGGCGAGAAGGGTGGGGCTCTGGGGAGGAGGTGAGGGGAGAGGGGAGAGGGAGTCAGCAAGGGGAGTGGAAGAGGGGGTGAGGAGAGAAGCCGGCTCCTGCCCTCTCCCTCTGCAGGTGCCACCCCGCCAGTCTCCACCCTCCCTCCTGGGCCTGCAGTTCTGTGTCCAGGCGTCTCCGCCCCAGGTGGCACTCTGTGGCTCAAGCGCAGGGTCTCTGCCACGGGCCCTTGTGACCTAGGGGTGCTTGTGGCTGCAGGCTGTCCAACAACCCGCTGACGGCCGCAGGGGCGGCCTCGCTGGTGGAGGGCCTGGCGGGAAACACCTCCCTGACACACCTGTCCCTGCTGCACACGGGCCTCGGGGACGAGGGCCTGGAGCTGCTGGCTGCCCAGCTGCAGCGAAACCAGCAGCTGCAGGAGCTGAATGTGGCCTACAACAGCGCCAGCGACTCCGCGGCCCTGGCCTTGGCCAAGGCGGCCTGGGAGCACCCGTCCCTGCAGCTGCTGCAGTGAGTCTTGTCCCCCCTCCCCCACTGTCCCCCTCCTGGACTCCTGCCGCTCAGGGGGCTTCTCTCCCGGGGCAGGGGCCTGGCCTGGCCTCTCTTCCTGGCTCCTGAGTGATGCCCACCGACTTGGGCGCCAGCCCTTCCCTCTGCCACGGGCCCTTCCCCTGCCCTGCCCCCACCCCAATTTGTCTAGCTTCTGGTGGCCCCATTCCTAGTCCCTGGTCCCACCAAGTCCTACAGGCGTCCCTGCCTCCATGGCCACCCCTCCTCTGGGCTCATGAGGACACACCCATGGCATTTCTCCGCAGCGGCTGGGCTGAGCCCCCTGCCTTCGCCGGCCCTGCCCTGGCTCTGCGCCTGCTGACGGCTCTCCTCTCCCCTCCCCTCCCCTCCCCGGCAGCCTCTACTTCAACGAGCTCAGCTCCGAGGGCCGCCAGGTGCTGCGGGACCTGGGGGACGCGGCGGAGGGCCGCGCGCGGGTGGTGGTGTCGCTGACGGAGGGCGCGGCCGTGTCCCAGTACTGGTCGGTGATCCTCAGCGAAGTCCAGCGCAACTTCCACAACTGGGACCGGGCCCGCGTGCGGCGCCACCTCCAGCTCCTGCTGCGGGACCTGGAGGACAACCGCGGCGCCACCCTGAACCCGTGGCGCAAGGCCCAGCTGCTGCGCGTGGAGGGCGAGGTGACGGCGCTGCTGGGGCGGCTGGGCGGCCCTGGCCGCTGAGGGCTCGCCAGGCCGCTCCCTGCCCCGCGGAGATGCCCCAAGGTCGGGGGCCGGGACTGGCACCGCCGCGCCCTCCGGAGCCGGCCCCGCCAGTCCTCCCAGGTCGGTCTCCAGGCCTCGCCGTGGGGCGGAAGGACAAGACGTGGCATTTCCGTGGCCCAGCTGCCTGTTGCACCCCCACGTACGGGCCCTCTCCTCCGAGGAGCCTCTGCCACCAGGGGGCGCCCCTCTCCCACCTGCCCTGCCAGGTGCCGTCTCCGTGTGGGGGCTCCCACCCTGCCGTACTGCCTTCTGGGACCCCGGGTCCCGCGGCCCTTCCGCTCCCCCCGGCGCTGCCCCAGCCTCACGCCTCCCCTCGGGCCTGTGCTCGGGGCCCAGCGCCCCCCCCCATCCCCCCCATTAAACGCTCCCACCCGCGCCCGCCTGTGCTTCCTGGGATGGAAGGACTGACCGCTTCCTGTCGCAGATGGTCCTTAGGTCCTAGGCTCAAAGGCAGCGAGGGCCGGGGTCCCTGAGGTGTTGGGGTGGGGCTGCACCCTGGCCCCAGGTGGGGGGGGGGGTGCCCGCGGCGCCGGGAGGCGGGGGCCAGGGGCGGGCATGCTCCCGGGACACCCCCCCCCCTCCGCTCCCAAGCGGCGTCTTCAAGGAGGCGGGACGGGGGGTAAGAGGGAAGGTCAGCTGACTCCCATGGACCTTGTCCCCGCTCCGAGCGCCGGGTTGTTGGCCAGCTATGGAGGCAGCGGCAGGTAGGAGCGGAGGAGCCCGGGAGCCGCGGAGCGGAGCAGCCGGGGCGGCGGGGCTGAGGCTGGGGAGCAGGGCACACGGTGCGAGGGCCTGGAGCCCCGAGACGCGGGGGGTGTGAGTGTGTGTGTGTGTGTGTGGGTGTGTGTGTGTGTGCTTCTGCCTTCCCGGTCCACACCCTGTGCCGACCCGGACGGCTCGGGCTGCTGTGCCCTGGCCTGGAGGAGGGGAGGGAGGGACGGCAAAGCCCCTTGGAGCAGAATGGAGGGGAGGGTCAGGTTCTGGGTTTGGGGTCCCCCCAGCCCGTTCAGTGAGCGGAGGGGTGAGGGATGCGCCTCTCCCCTCCCGCTTCCGCCCAGCAGGTCTCCAGGAGGCGGCTCCCCTCACCCTGTAAGTGGTGCCCAGGGCGGGCGGGGGGGCAGGGGGGGCCCCCAGCTGGCAGGGGCATCTCCAGTGGCCTGGGGTCTCCTTGCAGGAAGTTTGAGTTTAACCCAAAGCTGGGCATTGATAATCCTGTCCTGTCCCTGGCGGAAGACCATGGCCCCTCTGGTAACCATCTCGCCGCCCCGGCAGCCGCCCCCTCCCTGGAGGTGTCCGCAGGCCCCCGTCCCTGACCGCTCCCTCGGACAGTGGCCTCGGTTGGGAGTGACCACGGGGACGGGAGGAGGCCACCCTGCCCAGCGCCCAGTGGTGCCCTCCCAGGGGGCAGCGTCCGCCGGGCACCAGGCGGCTAGCACCAGGCACATCCCTCCCCCGTCTCTGCTGCCCAGACGCCTGGCTCTGCCCGGAGCGGCCCCGCTTCTGTCTGCTGAGCAAGGAGGAGGGCGGGAGCTTCGGCTTCCAGCTCCGGCAGGAGGCGGGCGGGGCCGGCCCCGCGGTGTGCGGGGTGGAGCCCGGCGCCCCGGCCCAGCGGCAGGGTCTGCGGGAAGGAGACCGGATCCTGGCGGTGAACGACCAGGCGGTGGCGCACGAGGCGTTGGAGATGGTGAGGCCGCAGCCCGCCCCCCGGGGAGGGGGTGCCAGTCCGGCCCTGGGAGGCGTGCGGAGGGCTGGCTCCGGTGGAGCGCAGGTGCCGGGGCGGGCGGGCCGGCGCTCCACCGCCGCCCTCTGTCCAGGTGGCGCGCCGCATCCGGGCCAGCGGCCCGCGGGTGCTGCTGGCGGTGGCGGCGGCACCGGCGCACGACCCGGCCCTTCTCTGCGCCCCCCTCGGCCCCGGGGTCCGGCCCCGGCTGTGCCACGTCGTGAGAGACGAGGGTGGCTTTGGCTTCAGTGTCACCCACGGTGAGCGCCGAGGCTCGGGTGGGGGAGCGGTCGGGGTCTCACCCCACCCTGGGCAGCCAGACTCACTAGCTTTTATTTATTTATTATTTTTTGTTTTGGGTGGAGGACTTCCAGAACATCCAGGTTCTTTCTGGCTGGTGCTGAGCCCCGGAGGGGCCGCTGAGCGGGCAGGCGTGCCCCCGGGGGCCCGGCTGCTGGAGGTGAACGGGCTCAGCGTGGAGCAGCTCACGCACAGCCAGCTCCGCAGGAGGGTAGGCAGCGCCCGTCCTCCGTCCCGCGGCCCGACCCCCTGGTCTCCCCTGGCATCCCCACCCCCTTCCCTTTCCGGGGTGGGCCCTCCCCGCCCGTGCCCCGGCTCTGAGCCCGCCGGGTCCCGCAGCTGCGGCGGAGCGGCGCGCAGGTGACGCTGCTGGTGGCGGCGCCGGAGGTGGAGGAGCAGTGCCGCCGGCTGGGGGTGCCCCTGGCCGCGCCGCTGGCCGAGGGCTGGGCCCTGCCCGCCGGGCCCCGCCGGCTGCACCTGCAGGAGGGGCCCCGGGGCTTCGGGTTCCTGCTCCGGGAGGAGAAGGGCGTCGGCGGTCGCCTCGGTGAGTGGGAGCCCGGGGTCCGGGGGGCGCAGTGTCTGTGCGCACCTACCTCTCAGGGGGGCCCAGGCTGCGCCCCGCCCTGACCTCTGGGGGGCCGCCCGTCCCCGCGTGCCCGGCGGACCGGGAGGAACCGCGTGTCTGTCCAGGGCAGTTCCTGTGGGAGGTGGACCCGGGGCTGCCGGCCGACCAGGCTGGGATGCGGGCCGGGGACCGGCTGCTGGCCGTGGCCGGGGAGAGTGTGGAGGGGCTGGGCCACGCGGAGACGGTGTCCAGGATCCGAGCCCAGGGCTCCCGCGTGGCTCTCACCGTCGTGGACCCTGAGGCGGACCGCTTCTTCCGAATGGTGCGTGGGGGGGGGGGCGGGGGCGGGCGGGCCGGGCGGGGGCGGCGGGCGGGCGGACGCGGCAGGCCTGTGCTCCGCCCGCAGGTGCGCCTGTCCCCTCTCCTCTTCCTGGAGGGTGCGGAGACCGAGGACCCGCCCGGCGAGGACGCAGCCCTGCCTCCCGCCCCGCGTGGCTCCCGCCAGGGCTCCCGCCGGTGCAGCTTGTACCCCGGGCCCGGCGGCGGCTACGGCTTCCGCCTCAGCTACCAGGCCGGCGGGCCCCGCCTCTCCATCGCGCAGGTGAGGAGCTCCAGGCTGCCCCCGGCGGGGCTCCCTCCGGGGGCCCTCCCTCCCTCCCGGGGGGCCTCCCTCCCGGCGGGCCTCCCTCCCTCCGGGCGGGCTGCCCCCGGCCCCGGCCCGCGGCTGAGCTGCGCCCGCCTGCAGGTGACGCCAGGGGGCGCGGCGGCCCGGGCGGGGCTGCAGCCGGGAGACGAGATCCTGGAGGTGAACGGGCGCCCTGTGGACGGAGAGCAGGACGTGGACCGGCTGCACCGGCTGGCCGAGGCCGAGCCCCCTCTGTGCCTGCGGCTGGGGGCCCGGTCTCCGCGGGGCTGGTAGGCATGGGTCCCGGGACCCCGGAGAGGCGGAGGGACTGAGCAGCTGGGGAGGGGCTGAGGGGGGGCAGAGCGGGGGGCAGGGGGGGCATGGACTCCAGGCCATGGCAGGGGCGGGGAGGACCCTGCAGAGCCCCACCCTGGGCATCCCAGTGCAGCGGGCTCAGGGCCAAGCCCCTCCGTGGTGAGCGGCCGCCTCCCCTCTCTCCCTGCCAGGAGCGAGCTGTAGCCGCGGACCTGCCCGACTGCCCCCCCTCCGCCCGGCAGGTCGCTGCTCCGCCGGAGCTCTGGACGCTGGAAACTGGGGCTCTAGGAGCCGGACAGTCACAGGCTGCCCAGCGCCCCTCCTCCCCAGAGAGGGGGTGTTTGGAGGCCTCAGGTGGGCCCGCGGCCCTCCCCTCCGCCTCCCGAGGAAGCCATGTGGGAGGCCTGGACGCCAGCCCAGCAGGAAGCTGCCTGCCTGAGTGGCGGGATTTTGGATTTGTAATCAAAATACACATGTGGTCTTCACCCTGGCACAGAGCTCCTACCACGCAATAAGAGCAATCAAGGGGCCTTTTGTTACTCATAAAATGCTTCTGGCACCGACTTTTGTCAAGGAGGTGACTTCTGGAAGCCTCTAAGGATGGGGAGGGAATGGTTGCCAGGGGAACCAACGGGGTTGAAACTTTCTCCCTCACCCCACACCCTCCCTGCGGGGCTCTGAAGAGGGGAGCCCCAGTGATGTCACTGGCCCCCGCTGCCGTGAAGCCTCCATGAAAAGCAGCGCCTGTGGAGGTGCCGGAGGGGAGGGGTCCACAGCGGGCGGGCATTCCCTTCCCGTGTGCACACCCAGCTCTGCCTTCGGCTGTTTCCGAACTGTATCCAGTAATAAACTGGTAATCAGTGAGCAGACTGTCTCCCTGCGTTCTGTGAGCCCCTCTAGCAAATGATGGGGAGCATGGGAACCTCCGATGCACACACAGCTCGTTGGTCAGAAGCGCTGGCGACCACCTGTGCCTGAGTTGGTGTCTGGAACTGAGCCCTCGCCCTGTGCGTCTCTAGGTAGAGTCAGAGTTGAGTTCAGTGTGGGACTCTGAACCTGGCGTCCACAAAAGAGGTGGAGAATGCCTTACTGGGCCGAAACCGGTTTGGCTCAGTGGATAGAGCATCGGCCTGCGGACTGAAAGGTCCCAGGTTCGATTCCAGTCAAGGACATGTGCCTGGTTCGATTCCGGTCAAGGGCATGTACCTTGGTTGCGGGCATATCCCCAGTAGGGGGAGTGCAAGAGGCAGCTGATCGATGACTCTCTCTCATTGATGTTTCTAACTCTCTATCTCTCTCCCTTCCTCTCTGTACAAAATCAATAAAATATATTTTAAAAAAAAGAAAAAAAGAAAAAAACCACATTGAAACCTGTAAAGAATTTTGTGAGTTTATTTGAGCCAAACCGTGGACATGAGCCGGCTAGCAGAACCTCAATGGATTGAGAATGGCGGGTCCACCTGTGTTCATACATGGCCATCAGAGGAGGGGCACGGGTGGGGACATGAAATCCACTGGTGATAGACTGGAGAGGCGGGAGAAAGCAAAGCGGGAAACCCCGGGATTGGGTAAAAAGTAAAATGATGGACACGTCCTCAGGTGGGTGCAGGGACAATTAACACGGTAATGAAGGACTTTATGGTCTCTGTCCTGGCGTCCCAGGGGGTCCGGAAGAAGGGAAGTGACAAGCCACCAGACATCTCACAGATATGTTATCTTAGAGGCTAAAAGGCTCAGGAAAGTTGATCTTTGTCAGGGAAAATATCAGCCTAGGACATGACTACCCACCATAACCTGTTCATTTTCAGACCATCCTTGTGGTGGCTTTATGTCTGAGTCTGCCAGCGGCCACGCAGGCCGCCCCTGAGCTGTCAGTCAGCACGTGGCCCTCCGTCCCCAGCGGCCTGGTCCCCCCTGAGCCTGGAGAAGCCAGGCACCCATCCACCCGGACTCACCAGGGCCGGCGCTTTCTCTGGGCCTGCGCACCAGCTTCCATCCTTCCTCTCCTGGTCTTAGGTGGCATCTCCGTGCTGTTCTAGGGCAGGGTGCGGGGCATGAAATTAGACCTGGGCGAGGGGTGCTTTCCTGGTCCCTAGACTGACCCAGGAGGCCCGGGAGAGGGAGCGGATCCGCCTCCGGATCCGGCTCACTTTTCAGCAGCCGCGGTCCTCGGTCTCCTGGACCCCGGCAAGGCCGTGGGGCGGCGCTGTCTCTCCTGCACGCCGGGCTCTAGGCAGAAACCCTCCTCTCCATCCTCTGGGACACACAAATCCCAGCCCCGTCCCTCCCCTCCCAGACCTGGCCCTGCCCCGTCTACCTCGAGGACGCTGGCCTCCGCGGAGTGTCCCGGGGCCGGGGGAGCAGAGGCCCAGCCAGCGGAGCCGGAGGCGGCCGGGGTCTGGGAGCCAGTCCGGGCGCAGGTCCGGCCGGAGAGCTGGCGGGGCGTCCGGAGCCGCTGTTGCCAGGCAGCCGGGAAACAAGCCCCGGGAGGCGGAGCACCGGCCCGGCTTCCAAGCCCAGGCCCGAGCGGGGACCGCCGCCTCCGGCAGCGCCGGGCTTGGAGCCGGGCCAAGGACAGGGCGCCCCGGAAGCCGTGAAGCTGCGCTGACAGAAAGGGCTGACGGTAGCCACTGGGGAAGAATTATTTTTGCTTTTAGAATTTTATTTATTGATTTTAGAGAAGGGAGAAACATCAGTTTGCGGTTCCACCTACTTATGCACCCTCGGTTGGTTCTTGCACGCGACCGGGATGGCGCCACCGCCTTGGGGGTCCGGACCTCGCTCCAGCCACCTGCCAGCGCAGGACTCACTGCCTGGAGCGGGGCAGCCTAGGCCTCCGTCTCCCCGGAGCTCCCCCCGCCCCCCAGGCGTCCTGTGGGCTGGGAGACACGGGGAGGAGGGCGTTGGGAGTGAGAGCGGGGAGAGGCAGCCGCAGTGCCCAGTGCCCACCTAGAGGGCCGCACAGGAGAAAAGGGTTCTGGGCAGAGACAAGAGCTACGAGTTCCAGGCTCCCCTTTGTCTTTCTTTGTGTGTGTGTGATTAGAAAACTTTTTATTGGATGCAGAGAGGAGGGATAGAAATAGATGAGAGAGAATCATTGACCGGCTGTTTTCTGCAAGTCCTCTCCTGGGGATAGAGCCCGCAACTCCATCAGGGCTCTGACCAGGACATGAATCTGTGACCCCTGAGCATGCATGCTGTGCCTAAATGTTTCTACGTAAAGATTTCTGAGGCGATGTTGTAGGCCCTTCGCTCTGGGGGAAGCTTCCTGCATTTTGCTGAAGGTGTGGGGGACAAATGCATCGGAGGAGGGCCTGTGAAGGATGACTCGCCCTTGAGGAGCGCCCTCCCCCAGGCTTGTTCTGTGGGAGCCTTGCCATCCGTCTGCCCCTGGACCTCCAGGCACCCACTCGCTAGAATGAAAACCGCCGAAACCTCAGCACTCTCCCCTAGTCCATGAGGGAACTCCAGACTCCTCTTCAGCTATTTCTTTCTCTCTCCGTCCCCTCAACAATTTTGTCAATTGCCTATTGCTAGGAGCAGATTGAAGAAATAGCTATGAGATCTGGGAGTAAAAAAATCCTTCCTGCCTTAGCTGGTTTTGGCTCAGTGGGTAGAGTGTCGGCCTGCGAACTGAAGGGTCCCTGGTTCAATTCCGGTCAAGGTCATGTACCTTGGTTGTGGGCACATCCCCAGTGGGGAGTGTGCAGGAGGCAGCTGATCAATGTTTCTAACTCTCTATCCCTATCCCTTCCTCTCTGTACAAAATCAATAAAAAATATTTTTTAAAATATATTTTTTATTGATTTTTAAAAAATATATATTTTTATTGATTTTGTACAGAGAGAAGGGAGAGAGATAGAGAGTCAGAAACATCAATGAGAGAGAGTCATCGATCAGCTGCCTCTTGCACACCCCCTACTGGGGATATGCCCAAAACCAAGGTACATGCCCTTGACTGGAATCGAACCTGGGACCTTTCAGTCCCCAAGCCGACGCTCTATCCACTGAGCCAAACCGGTTTCAGCAATAAAACACATTTTTAAAAAACATCCTCGGGTGAGGACTAACAAACAAACAAAAGTCCTTCCTCAGACAGCAGTCAGGAGAGGCATTCACGTGGCCGAGTCTCCTTCATGAGCGCAGGTGCATCTGCGCCGGGCGCTGCAGTGAGGCGGCAGGCGCTTCCCAGGTGCACACGCCCTGCTCCTTCCGGAACACGCAGAACTTTCCTCCTCAGCGCAGCGTGGCTGTTTACCCTCCCCCACAACCTCTCTTCCCGCCCGGCCAGCAGGATCCCAGGCCTCCTCACAGAACTGGGGGGTTTTCCACGGACGGGGAGTGTCTCCACCATGCTGACGGCGGATGGCGTATTGAGGACAGAGCTTATCTGGCAGAATGCAAACATGGCGTGCCTCAGAAGAGCGTTTACTTTTCAAATATGTTCAGTCAACCGACTGTCAGGTGCAGAATGAGGATGTGGTTTGGGGCGAAGGTGAAACAGAACAAGAAAAGTGCCACATGTCACATATGCTATGAGCTGAGTTTGCTCAGACGAACCCAGGAGCGAGTGACATTGTGATCACAATCCAGCTTCCCCTCTAGTGTACTTTTAAACAAGCCAAATGAAAATGATTTCCTTATTTGAAGGAAGGTTTAATTGATTTTAGAGGGAGAGGGAGAGGGAGAGCAGCATAGATGTGAGAGAGAAACACCGATCGGTTGCCTCCACCCCTGCCTGGGATTGAACCCAAAGCTGGAAACATGTCCTTCCTGGGAACCGAACCTCTCAGTGCATGGGACAATGCTCCCACCATGGGCCAGAGCCAACCTTTCCTTTAAAAAATTAACTGTTTGGAAGTGAGCTAAGAAAGATTATTTCAGCATAGCTCTGTTTTCCTCTGAATAGGACCCACCTGGGAGGCTTGCAGAGACGTGGTGGAGAAGGGCCCTGCGTTATCAGCCGTGGGGCAGGCCGTGTCTGCCAGGAAACCACACGCCGTGATGCCGCTCTGCTCTGCACCGACTGCGGCGAGACAGCCACATGGAAGCCTTACGCCGAGGGGCGCAGGTGGCCTAGACAAGCTCCGAAAAAACATACAGAAGTAGCCTGTTATCTGCAGATTTTTATTTATTTATATTTTTTTAAATTTTATTTTTTTATTAAATTATCTGGGTACATATTTTACCATTGCTTCCCCCACCCCCATATTTGCAGATTTTTAAAATATATTCTTATTTTTAATGATTTCAGAGAGGAAGGGAGAGGTAGAGAGAAATAGCAATGATGCGAGAGAACCGTTAATGGCGGCCCTCCGCACACCCCATTCTGGGGATCGAGCCCAAAACCCGGGCCTGTGCCCTTGATTGGAATCAAACCCGGAACCCTTCAGTCCACAGGCCACGCTCTATCCACTGAGCCGAGCCAGCTAGGGCTCAGGGGTTAATTTACCTTACTCCACTAAATCTAGGATCTAACAATGAGGGAAAGAAATTGCCTTTGTGTACCTACTGTGGAGGATTGCAGTGGGTAAGGAAGAAGTGGTTGTAGAAATTTAGAGGAGGTGTGGACGGAAAAAAGGCCACATGCTGACCTGACCAGCTCAAGGAAGCCCTGCATGGCGGTTTTGCAAACTCAAAGACCTAAAGTAACCACAAAGGATGGTCTGAAATTAAAAATTTAACTAAAAGTAGTTTATAGAAGGTAGCTATTTCCTAAGCCAGTATTTTCCCCGACGAAGATCAACCTCCAATATTTACTAAGCCTATTTTTTTTACATTTTTTAATTAAATTATTATCTGTGTACATCTTTTAACATTGCCCCCCTTACTAAGCCTATTGTTTTCCTTTCTTCCTTCCTTCCTTTCTGTCCCTTTCTTCCTTCCTTTTTCTTTTTCTTTTCCTTCCTTCCTTCCTTCCTTCCTTCTTCCTTCCTTCTTTCTTTCTTTCTTTCTTTCTTTCTTTCTTTCTTATAAATATATTGTTTTTACTGATTTCAGAAAGGGAGAGGGAGAGAAAAACATCAATGATGAGAGAAAATCATTGATCTGCTGCCTCCTGCACGCCCCTTACTGGGGGTTGTGCTTGCAACCCAGGCAAGTGCCCTTGATCAGAATTGAACCCGGGACCCTCCAGTC